CCCTTCACTCATCCCAAGTTTCTCTATTGAATAGATTTCCTCTGGGTAACCAATGGTTAAGGAATTCTTTCTGTCTGTCTGTCTGAATTTGGGGATTAGGTGAGGGGTAACCGGGGATTGAACCCAGGGGCACTTAACCACTGAGCCACATCCCCAGCCCCTTTTTATATTTTATTTAGAGACAGGGTCTCACTAAGTTGCTGAAGTCCTCAAAAGTTGCTGAGGCTGGCTTTGAACCCGAGAGCCTCCTGCCCCAGCCTCCCGAGGTGCTAGGAAGGGAGTTCTTTATCTGTCCTCTCTCCTCCCCACCTTCTCCTACATGAAAAACCCTAATTAACTAACTGATGGGAACCCAGCTTCCTCTCTGTCCTGCTTTTCCTTCTCTCTCACCAGGTCCTCCTTCTGTTCCAGCTCTCTTTCGTGTATCAGTTTAGAAACTGACACACACCAAGGGGAAGGTGACACACGTCCTCCTCCTCGCCCCTTGCACCCTCGGTGTCCGGTTTCCAGCTTGTTTGGAGGCTGTGACGTCAGGAACGCCTTGGCACATTTCCACTGTACTACTAAAGTGGAAATGATGGTCCCTGTGCCACAGTGCCTTTCTCTCCTTGCCTTGTTCTCCCTTGAAAAATAACCACGTTGGTGCCTCTTCATCTCCTCTCCTACCCACTCTGCAAACCAAACCCCACATACGTGCACTGAGCTCCTGGGATGCCTTCCTCAGTGTCACTCCACCTGGGGGGGCCGCATCTCTTCTTCCTCCAACTCCACGGCCAAATGTTTCTTTATTTACAAGTCACATTATTTGTAACCAAGTCAAGTCATTTTTTTGTTGTTGTTGTTGCTGTTGTTCAGAAAAAAAGGATCACATCCAAAACTTTTTTCCAGATTTTTCCAAGTGGTTGGACTAAAGGTTTTCTAAACTCCCTTTCATCATTTCCTTCTTCTTCAAGTTTATCCAAGGTAGACCCTAATCACATTCTAAATCAAGAAGGTTTTGAATTAATAACCATTTGGCACCCCATGACTGGTTAATGGAGTTGGAAACCGGACTTTGCCGTACACAGTGCGAGCATCTCCCCGTGACCCGGAGACCTGTTTGCTGTTTAATGACATCAGGAGTGCCGAACGCTGTCTTCTAAATGGCCGACTGACCAGAGTGTCTCCATGGCAGCATCTGGCTGATTTGTGCCAGCTACTCCAGAGAGAGGGAGCAGGAGTGTGTGGACAGATCAGCCAGCTCTGCATCTCCACCCAGGGGCCAGTTCAAAGCCCCAGTGATGGTGGGTGGCACATTGACAAAGGTTGATAGATAGCATCTTCTACTGATGCAAGAACTCCAAAATAAGAAAGCCAGAGAGTGATCAGAAGGCGTCAGGGACAAGGGCGCAAGAACGTTTAAAGAAGCCCAGTGAGAAATATTGTTCCTAATGAGCGTCCTCTAGATTTCTTATGTTTATTTTCTGTTCTCCATCTCCTCCTCCTCCTGCTTTTCTGCCACATGCATCCGTGTATGTGGGGGACCTCCCACAAAGCCCTTTACCTGCCTCTGTTGTACTTTCCCTTATGCTTTCGCTGTCCTTCCCCAAGTCTTTCTGGGGTCATTAGTATTGACTTCGGGTATTGATCATGGTCGTCTCCTTCATTGCCTGCCTGGCCTTTTCTTTGTTCTGTGCCTCCTGAGCAGACTTTGTTCATCCTGTGATCTGTGCATCCCAGGAAGCACATATTCTTGGGGACAGGGAGCCTCCTTGGCCGGTGCTACAAAAGAAATATGAACATGCCTTCATATTCCCCTCCCTGTCACCCCCCCTTTCAATGTATTAATTAGGTTTCAAGCCAAGCAACCCCAGTTTGATTTGGTTCAGCAAAAAAATAAAGCCTATATAGATCCTTGGAATATACTGCTGCAGATTGAACTCTGGGATGGATGGCCATGCAACAAGGCTTGAAAGAGTCAGAGCCAGGGCTTTTAGCACCTCTGAGAGTCCTTCTTCACCGCTGCTCTTTCTCCACTTTCCACACTGCCTCAGTCTATTTCACTACAGATGTGTGGTAGGAAATGTGACCATCTCTAGCTCCTGTCTTTGTGACGGTATAGCTTCCACTGCTGAAGCCGGAAAAAGAGAACATTGACCCCACTTGGGGCAGGCATCTGTTTCTGAGCAAATCAACCAGGGCCAGGAGCAGAGCTTACAAATGGGTCCATGGCAGCCCCTAAATTTTCCCTGTGTGCACATCATGGTGCAGCTTTCAGTGGATGAGTAGAACCAAGCTAAAGCCCAGAAGTACCTTCGGTGCCTGCTCATCCATATCTTGTTTCTTGGCGTGGGTGGCTCCAACATCCTGCCTTGGACCACAATTTCTTGAACCAAGATCACCATTAAATCTCACCACCTGTATTAGTCAGGGTTCTCTAGAGGAACAGAATCAACAGGCAGTATAATTATAAAATGGGGATTTGTTAGGATGGCTTACACAACCAGAAGCTGGAAAGTCCCCAATAGCCATCTGTACTCTGGAGAGCTGGACCAACCAGTAGCTGCACAACAGTCCAAGGGGCTGAAGCTCCAGAACAAGAAGGATCAACAGTGCTACCCTAGTCCAAGACCAAAGGCTTCTGGAGAATCACTGGCAGAGTCCACTTTGGAAGAGTGAAGAAGCCAGAGTCCCATAGCCTCAGACCATCACAGCAGCAATCAAGAATTCATTCAAGAAGAATTAAGGGCTGGGGATATAGTTCAGTTGGTTGAGTGCTTGCCTTGCATGCACAAGGCCCTGGGTTCAATCCCCAGCACCACAAAAAAAGAAGAATTGAGCTTGCATCTGCTGCTGTCTTTGTTCTTCCAACTTTTATTCCATCCAAGTCATCATCCTATTGGACGGAGCTGCCCATACTTAGGGTGGGTCTCCATTTCAGTTGGCTATGCCACATGCCAATCATTGCTAGACACACCCTCATTGACACACCCATAAGCCTCTTAATCCAATCAAGTTGACAATTCAGATTAACCATCACACCACCCCTTCTCCATCCAGTTCTCTAAAGATACTCCCAAATTTCTCCAAAAGAGACCTGGTTGGAAGCCAGTGTGTCACTGTGGTTTGAGTCACCAGGCAGCACTTCCCACTTCAATAGTTGCTCTCTGGCCTTTTAAAATTCAATGAGAAACACTGAAGAGCCTATATAAGACTTTCAGGATACATGATCTACCTCTCCTGGAATGGTGCTTTCAATCATATATGTGACGATTATAGAGGACTTCAAGATTACTTTGAAATGCTTTCCTGTTTTTTTTTTTACCTGTCAACAAGGCTATTATATAATATATGGTAAACTTGATAAAAGTAATTTGATGTCTTAACCAAGAACTAAATCTAAGGTCTTCCAACCTGGACCAGTACTCCAGCAGGGGATGGCCTCCTCCGTAACTTGTAAGTAATTAGATAAAAGAGGTTCTATCTTCAATTATCAAGAATACAAACAACAATAAATGTTGCTGAGGATGTGGGGGGAAAGGTACACTCGTACATTGCTGGTGGGTCTGCAAAGTGGTGCAACCATTGTGAAAGCAGTATAAGATTTCTCAGAAAACTTGGAATGGAACCGCCATTTGATCCGGCTATCCGACTCCTTGCTTAATACCCTACCCAAAGGACTTAAAATCATAATACTACAGTGACACAGTCACATCAATGTCTATAGCAGCTGAACTCAAAATAGGTAAACTATATAACCAAATAAGTGCCCTTCAGCAGATGAATGGATAAAGAAAATGTGATATATAAACCAAGATCCAGACACAGAATCTGAGAAATGAGGTTTCAATAGAAGTAATGGAAGTCTCAGGATGATGATTTTGCTTCAGGTCTATGGAGTCAACAGTCCATGTTGGGGAAAGAGAGCTACAGACTGTGGAGAAGAGGACTTCCAGGAGATAGGGGAGAAGATCTCTAGGGAATAGAAAGAGAACTGATTAATTATCTCATATGTATAAAATGTGAAAAAGCTTTTGCTAAGGGTTTTACAGGTTTGTTCAAGACACTTGGAAAGCAGTAGTTAGCTACTGGGCTGAGCAACAATTTTATCCAGTTTAATAATGTGGACACTGACCACTGGTTTAACAAAAATAGTTATACAAGTCTGTTTGGAAGAACACTGAAGGGTGGGCAGTGCTGGGCTGGGAGACTAGTGAGTAGGAAGTTAAATCCTTGTCTAGAATTGACAAATTGAGAACAGCTACAAAAGCACATAATGTTAAAATAGACAAGAAGAAGGAACAGAAGATAGAACGTAGATGAAGAAGAGATAAGAGAAAACAATAACTGCTTTTTAGGGGATACCGAGAACCATTTAATACTACTTGATTGTTTTACATTATATATTAGATATATATATATATATAGGTGTGTGTGTATGTGTGTGTATATATATATATATATATATATATATATATATATATATATATATATGGTTGTAATTATAGCTAGAAAAATGAAATGGCTTTTTGGGAAAATGCTTATGTGAACTCCTTGCGGTGTGCCAGGATTTAAAAGACTTTCCCATAAGAAAGTCCCCTGTTTGTGAATGCTGGGTCCGCCACCTGGCAGAACCATACATAGTGTCTTCTGTGAGCTCCTGATGCCTTGAGACCTGTGGTCTTTGCAGGAAGGCAATTCAAGCAGATTTGGACCAATGCATCCGTAAGGCTAGCACAAGCAAAGCAAGATGGTGTGCTAAGCTGCAGGTAAACCAGGACGGGGGGCGGGGGAGGTCTTAAAATTCATCTGTATACTATGACTGCAGCCATAAGATGCAGAGCTGATGTTCATAACAGGAAGGGAATGAGGACTAGTGAAAGCAGTTTGGTTGGTCAGAAGTGGGAGTAGAAACATTCTTTTTTAATTTAGAGTCATAGGAAGACTGCTCTCCTATTTGTGGGAAACAGAGTTGCCATTTTTCCGGGAAGTCAGTGCCTTTCTGTGCTTCCCTCCTGCAGCTTAATTGCTTACACGGAACAGTATGTGGAATATGATCCTTTCATAACGCCCGCAGAGCCATCTAATCCCTGGATCAGTGATGACATCGCCTTATGGGACATAGAGATGAGGTAAAAAATGTTTTAAGGTTTGGAAGCGGGAGGGTTGCAGGGGGAAAAAAACTATGAGATCACATTACTCCCTATCTTCATCTGACGCGTTTTATTGCTAACCCAGGAACCTTGCCAGGAATCCCCGACTGAGTTCTGCTTGTTCCATCTTTCTATCTCCTTAGAGCTTTGATTTGTAGGTGGGTCCTTGTGGCTTCCCTCTGACCTCTCTCTGACCCTTTGTGCATTGCAATAACTGGGCAGTCACTCACTTTTTCCTATTAAAAAAAAGAAATCTGTGTTTTCTTCTTAGCAGGCAGTAGCAGTGTTCGCTGGCACTCACTTGCTCTATACTGGCCATATCACACAGTAGATGTCTTCAATTCTCTCAGCACATAAACATTATTAAGCATTATTATTCTTTCCATGGAACTGATGAGGAAACTCAGGCACAGCAGAGTTCATGAACTTGTCCAAGGTCACACAGCTAGTATGTGGCAGTTAGGACTGCAACCCAGGCAGAGGGTTCCAGGCCTGTGAATGTCATCACTCTGCTCTTCTAGAAATCCTGGCAGCAGTAATTCCATCACCCAGGCGCTCCTGCCCTGTGAGGGGAACAGGTGTAGCTACTTAATCGCTGATCAAGGGAAGCCCAGAGGGTCTTGGACCACTTCCAAAATTACAGGAGGCGCGTAAACAATTCTGCGCTCTGTGCCTTCACAACCTCTGCCCCCTAACTGGATGACATTTCTTTTCTCATTTTTCTGTCACACTCACGTTCTCTTTCACTTTTTTATTTTTTTCTGGCATCTTCTCTTGAAATGGAGAAACCTTCTAAAAATTAGTAAAAGTCATAAATGCTTATTATGAAAAGTTTAAAAAGCAATCCATATGTGCCTAAGGAAGAAAATCCTCTCTCCCTCTCGCCCAATATCATTTTCTAGGAAGAACCCCTGTTTATAGTCTGACGCCCTAGTTTCCAAGCTGCAGGGGGGAACTAGGGCTACCATGGACTAAATGGTTGATGGGAAGAGCAATGTCTGTCAGCTGTCAGAGACGGTGTAAGCTACAGGCTTAGGGTGGCTCCCTGTCAACCACAGAGCGTATTCCATCCTTCTCAATGATGTCACCTTTTGCAAATCTAGATTGTTCAGAGCAGTTTCTGGGATAAAAAGTTAATGCGGTATAAAAATCGACCTGGGAGAAGAAAAGAGAGTGGTAGAATCCAATCTGATTCCAAAGTTTGAGAAAATGTGCAGTTCCCAGGAGGTTTACATTGTGGCTGGCTATTTATAGCCAGGCAAGGTGACGCATGTCTGTTATCCCAGCCACTTGGGAGGCTGAGGCAGGAGGATCATGAGTTCAAAGCCAGCCTCAGCAAAAGTGAGAGACTAAGCAACTCAGTGAGACCCTGTCTCTAAATAAAATACAAAATAGGGCAAAAACAAGACACTAAGCAACTCCCATGAGTCTCTGTCTCTATAAAATACAAAATAGGACTGGAGATGTGGCTCAGTGGTTGAATGCCCCTGCGGTCAATCTCTAGTACCAAAAAAAAAAAAAGAAAGAAAGAAATTTTTTTTCTTTCAATTTATTTGCATTTCACGTAAGTACATAAATACATATTAAGTTGATTGATCCTGAACTTAATAACTGTTAGGGATTTTTCTGGCCCAAGGGGACCATGAAAAACTTAAGTTACTAAGGGTGTCATGAACTCAGGAAGTTTGGGAACCTCTGATTTAGTGTCTATCCCTTTAGATTTGTACACATATAAAATATCCTACTCTTTAGTATAATTGGGTTCTTTATCTATATATTCTGCTCAATATTTTTATTTTTATTTTTTTTTTAATTTTTTATTGTTGGTTGTTCAAAACATTACAAATTTCTTGACATATCATATTCCACACTTTGATTCAAGTGGGTTATGAACTCCCACCTTCATGCTCAATATTTTTAATTGGCAATGTATCATGGCAATCTTTCCATGTGAGCCCACATGGAGTCACCTTATCCTTTTTAAATATCTGCATAATATCCCCTGGCATGAGTGAAGTGAAATATATTTAATCCATCCCTGGGTCATAAATATTTAAGTCATGTCTTTTTTATAACATTAACAATGATTCAAGGAACATCGCTGTATACAAGTCCAATTATTTCTTTAATATAAATTTTCCAGTAGTAGAATTTCTGGGAATGGTACACATATTTTAATTTTAGATCATGTGCCTAGATTCCTCTTGAGCAAAACTAAAACAAATTTTTTTCATACCCTCATTGAAAGTTCTTGTTTCCCCACATCCTTACAAACCCAAGCATTTTAACTTTGCAAATCCAATAGGTTGGGGCGGGGGGGGGAAGTCTCATTTAAATTTCTATTTCTTTATTAATATATTCGAGAGTCTTCACCTGGCTACTGGATGTCCATTCTTTTTGATTTGACGGTTATAATGTCCTCAGATCATTTTTTCTAGTGCTGTTTTGCTTTGGGTATTGGGAAGGATAACCTTTGAATTTACTTTGATCATTTATTGTATCTTTTTCCTGATAACTTTATATTTTCTGAATATCATTCTTTCTTCTTGTTTCTTTTCCTCTTCCCTGACTTTTGCTTCACTAGTCAAGTTTTATGCCAATTTTTTTTAAATTTATCTATGACAGCAGAATGCATTGCAATTCTTAGTACACATATAGAGTACAATCTTTCATATCTCTGGTTGTATACATAGTATATTCACACCAATTCGTCTCTTCATACCTGTACTTTGGATAGTTATGATCATCACATTCCAGCATCATTAATTACCCCCTGCCCCCTCCCTTCCCCTCCCACCCCTCTGCCCTATCTAGAGTTTGTCTATTTCTCCCATGATGCCAACTTTTTTTATATCTCTATTAAAGAAAACGTTACTTTGAAATATTTTAATTAAAAATGTCACTAAAATAAAAACACATAGAGTGAAATATGTAAAATTAAAAGCAGAAACTTTTAATTCACCTCTTCCACATCCCGTTCTTTTCCAGATGTACATGAACTTGATAGATTTTCGAACTTCTTTCGTATGTCAATGAGCATCTCTTTTTATTTATATTTCTACGTGATTCAGGTAGTTTCTTTCATTCTGATCCAAAAACTTACAGCTCTCTTGAACTCAGGGTCTTTTGTCTTTCTCCTTTTTTTTTTTATTGTTTAATCACACCTTCTCTTTTTTTTCCATTCTACCCTCTCTTTTCAGGAAATCCTTTGGTAGGAATCCTTGACTTCCAGAATGGAGCTGCCATCTCTCTTATCTTTTCCCAATCTTAATTTCCATCTCTTAGTCTTTTTATTTTATACTCAAAGGAGAGAACCTCTGGAATTGCTGCTCTTCAGAGTCCCCAGTGTGGGTTTCGGTGGTGTCCATTCTGTGATTTTTTGCTTTGGTGAGTTTTTCTTTGCCCACTGAGAATTGGGAGGGGTGGCAACAATCACGCTTTCCGTCCTGATGGTGCTGGCTGGGTTTTGTTCTTAGCAGCCTGCTCTGCTCTCTTCATGTCTATCCCCCTGAATCCCCTGGAGAGCATGATACAGATTTTATTTCTCTTATTTTGTATTTAAATATCTCCATTCCATTTCTGCCCCCTTGTCTGGGTCCCTGGCCATCACTAATCAGAGGATCATTGTTTTGTAGCTCCAATCACTGCTCGGAGCAGAAGATTCCTTGCACATCCCAGTGACTTGAGGGACCATTCACTTTCATAAATGAAGGTCTTTGCTTTTTATTTTTTCTTTTAATACCCCAACATAGTCTTGGGTTAGGAAACAATATCAATAGGTGCTGAGAGCTCACTCAGCAACTATGCAAGTCAATGGTTCTCAAACTGTGAACATTAAAAATACACATGCAAAAAAAAAAATGCCCTGGAGAGGCTCTGGACATCTAAAAATTTTTTCCCCTTCTGGTACAGGGGATTGAACAAAGGAGGAAATTCATTTTATCATGGTGAATTAGCATTTAGTTCTCCTTCTTTTCTGAATACCAATGAATGACCAAAGGAAGAATCACTCACTTACCCATATCCATCCAACCTGCACCTTTAAGTGCCTACTAAGTGCCAGATAGAGGGACCCCTCTGAATGCAGGGACCCCTCTGAATGCAGAGCAGCCTGAGACTGGATCCTCTCTCAGAGCTCTAAGACCCAGCTGTGGGGTCCTTGGGAGACAGAGCCCCACCTTCTTTAGCAGAACAAGTGCTCTGCCCTGAGTCAGGTCCAGATGGAGGTTCTACTGCCCCTCAGCTCCCTCCTCGGGTGCTCGCCAAGAAGTCCACTCTTCTCCCTCTGTGATGGGTCCTGGGGGAGCCCAGTCAGATCTTCTGAAGCAGCTAGAGGTAGCAGGAAAGCTGGGGTGTCTTTAGAGGTCTCTGCGCTGCTGAGATGATTTTTCGCTGTGTACTTGCTGTATGTTAGCAGAGGCACTGCCCTGGTCTTATTGCTTGTGTTGGAAACTGAACCAAAAGCACCCCCCTTTACTTATCAAACCACTTCTTCCATGTGGCGCTTATTCTGTACTGAGTTTCTTCCATATGTCCCCTGTCTAATGCCCAGCCGTGGCCTCTATTTCCAGTCCTGCAGCCAGAGCTTGGCATTTTCCCAGACTTCCTTTGGGAAGGGCTTTGGACATGCTAGGCAAGCACTGTGCCATTGAGCTCTGTCCCCAGCCCCTGCCCAGCTACTGTCTTTGATGACTCTACTGGCATCATAGACTGCTCTTGATCAGCTTTGTCATGCATGAATTTGATCCATCTGCTTTATACCTTTTCTGAAATTCCTCAAACTTATCATCTGCTGATAGGAACCATTTATTTCTACATACTATGGGGGGGGGTTGTTTGTTTGTTTTTGTTTTATAAATACTGAACTTCATTGAACTTCAGAGTCTTACGGTTCCCCTCCTGGACCATTCTTCCCCTGGGCTGGCTTTCCTTCTCATTCACATCTCCTTGTCATTGGTGTCCCTTCCTCAGGGAAACTT